GTTAATTTTGGTTTCCTAATGAAAACTACAATGTTTCCAATGAAACACAACAATTGTACAAAATCAGTTTTGTCAAAATCCAGTTTTCATTTTAAAAATGTGATGAGGGGAGACTGGCCAGTATATTTCATTCCATCATGAATGTACCCTGAAAGATGACCTCTTGGATACCATACACAAGGGATGGAGCACAGCAATTTCTATAGAGAAGATCAGTAAAGAAATTACAAGCTTTGAAGGACAATAAAGCATTACAGTTGATGAAAGGGTGGTAAGCCAGTGACCTGGGGTGCATGACATATATTTAAGATCTTCCTAACCAGCTGTGATAATTAAATAACATTAGATTATCTCTCCTAATTTGGTGTCTAAAGTTAAGACATCTAAATTTAAGTTGGTCATCTTAGTCTGTCTTTACAGAGACTGTGGAGAAAGAGGCATATCCAGAGATGTTATCTACTTCCATTTTCCACCTAGACTAGTTCAAAGGAAGTTGCTATTGGACATGCCTCTTCTTCTCCATTGTCTGAGAAGGCAGCCAGAATTCTCTAGCTGGGCATCATACAGCCAACTTTTAAATATGTAAAGATAGTAGAAAAAAATCTCATTCTGTGCTGCATTTTGTTGGCTGAATTCCAATACAAGTAGCAGCTCTCTGGCCATTCTTTCCCTTTGAAGTAACAAGTATTCTCCACCTTGTCTCCTGAGTTGGATTTTTTTTTTAGCATTGTTGCATATTAAAGCACTTCCGTGCTCCAGTCCCAAGTTGGCTACATTTTACTTTTGGATGCTATCCAAATACTCTTTGTATAGCACTCTGAATTCCTTTGGGATGAAATAGGTTACACGGATCTTGAGTTACTGTGCTGTTAGGAAGGACAGAAGAACTGAGTCATCATGTTGACACTCACAAGGTTGTTACTGCAAATGGCCCCAGCAACTGCTTTGTTCATACTTCTTGCTAAGTTTATCCTTAGGCTGCCCGGGTCATCCCAAGATGGAGCATTGTACACAGCCACCAAAGTGCCGTTAGGAAAGAGCAGTAAGCATTAACTGGTGGATTTCTAAGATGGCTCAGTAAGTCAGCTGCCTAATACATATTTCATTTCAGTGACTTTGAGCAGCACAAGTTCTTTGAAGTCCTCTCAAAACCCCAGGAAGGTGGGTAGTCCCTGAGGACTAGGATCATCATCCTGAGATTCCCCTCTTTAACTGTCAGTCTGAAATATTTGATTCTTCCATTTAAAGCATCCAGTCTTAGGGTCTTGGCATGACTAATCTGTGGTCTTTATTAGTGAAAATTTTAGTTCTCACATTATGCAAAGGCTCACATAGGCTCAAAAGTGTGATTTATACTTTAAAAAGCTTGGTGGACATATTGCAGAGAAAAAAAAAGCAATCATAAAAAAAAAAAAAAAAAAAAGCTTAGTGAAGAAAGCTTGCATTCCAGCACTGTCCTGTCATACTGAGGGGGAAGAAAAGAAATGAAGTGTTTATGGGCCACCATACTTTTGCTCTCCTTGATAAAAAAGACAAAAATAAGTAGAAGTAACTGTGCACTGTCTCATGCTGCAGACCACGAATGTGAAGTGAGGACAGAATTCTGTGCTCAAAAGGGAAAAAAAAATATTCAGGTTTGTACTCTTGCAAATTTGAGTCTGTAGTCAGGGAAACCCACCCACCTACCCTTATGATTTTTGGAGAGCTGGTCACACATACAGTAATGCTGGATGACATCGCTGATTTTATTAAGCAAGTCAGTAATAATACTTCCTCAGTAATACAAATAAATAATAAGACTGGTGTTAGAGAAACAGTTTCTATAGCAACTGAAGTTGCTTAAAGATTTGCTAATTCTTTGCTGTGAGGTGTTAGCAGATGTTCTGGATGGTGTGTCATCTCCCTCTTAGCCATGTTTTCCTTACACATTCAAATGATGGATAAGGGGATTGTGCATTAGAAAACTGATTTTCACAGGCACATTTTGTATTGTTTACTTGTACAAATTCCTTGGATATCCAGTGTTCACTTTGACTTCCAAGAGTTTACACAGAGAAAGAGACTTGGGAATCTTCATCTGTTGCTTTTCAGAGTGTTGCTCAGCATTTCATAAGAAACTTTGATACTGGATGTCTCCTTGATAGCTGCCAGAATCTGCAGTGAGGAGGCTTAAAGTGCATAAGCAGCTTGTCCCTCAAATACTCAGTGTAACTTGTAGCTAGCAGCACACTGGGGATAATTTAAAAACATCTTATAAAAAGAAGTGCAAAATTTCAATAGACTCTAGTTACTGTTCAGCTGTGTAACGTGGCCTGTTGTATAGGGTATAGGAAATAATTTGTCCAGTTCAAAGTCACAAAACCAATGGAAGCAGTTGTCCAGTCCCTTTTCTAGGACTTTTTTTGCCCTTGAAGTGTGACAAGCTGGAATTTCCCCTCCTGAGCTTCTAGATCCTGCTGAATTTCAAAGCCTGTTGTTCCCTTGGAAAATCCATGCCTAAACCTCCATATCCAGTGTGAGAGTTGTGGTACAGCTGCAACAGAGGTATTGGACAGGGCTCTTTTGTTGCTCCTTTCAGCACAGTAAACAGCACAAGAAGTTGCTGCCTTTCTGGCCAGTATGAGCAGTCATGCTGGCATCTGCCTACCTAGAGAGAGCTCACCGGACGCTGACATTGCAGAGTGGGGAGTAAGTATGCTTCATAAAGTAGGAGCTATCACGTGGCACACAATAAATACAGACTAATGTTGAAAAAAAATTTTAACCCCCTCTGCACTGTATTCTCTTTCAGGAGAGATTGGGGGACTGCATATGGTGGGGACTGGGCATGGTAGTCCATCTGTGATGGTACCCAGGTAGTCGAAAGGTACCCAGACTGCATATGAGGTAAATCAAAGATGCCCTCAGTCATTGGATTCTACATTCGCTGGGAAGAAAAACACCCGCTATGGCACGTTCCCCCTTGCAGGTGTGCCACATCCATTCCCAGCACCACCAAAGGAGAAGCTGAAGAGATCTGAAAGGTGCCCAGGAGAAGGGAAACAGCACCGCATTCTGGCACAGAGCTGTGCTGTATGCAGTCAAGGATCTCTGAATACGTGGCTGTCTAAGGTGGACGTGCCCTGTTCTGATGCTCTTTGGTGACAAGAGCAGTGACACTTCTCTCAGGGGGTGACACTGCATTGCAGACCCCATAGAAAAGTTTCCACAGCTTCTCTGTCCCTGATTCAACAGAGACGCCAAGCGCATAATTTTTCATTTAATTTTTTGCAGATACTATTATTTTGCAAATATTGAGCTTAGTAGGATATGGGGAGATTTAACTAGTGAGGCACTGAGTTGAATCTGAGCTTTTTGTATCTAAAAGAGTCATACACAGCTCTCACACAATTCATAGAATCATAGAATGGTTTGGGTTGGAAAGGACCTGTGGAGCTCATCTAGTCCAACCCCCCTGCAAGGAGCAGGGACATCTTCAGCTAGATCAGGTTGTTCACAGCCCCGTCCAACCTGGCCTTGAATGTTTCCAGGGATGGGGCATCTACCACCTCTCTGTGCAACCTGTGCCAGTGTTACATCATAAAAAATTTCTTCCTTATATCTAGTTTGAATCTACCCTCTTCTAGTTTAAAACCATTACCCCTTGTCCTACCACAACAGTCCCTACTACAAAGTCTGTTCCCATTGTGGTGCTTTTCTAAAAGCAAGCACAGAGTATGTGAAGCAAGTGTAAGAGCCAATCCTTTTCCTTTTTTTGAGACTAGAGGGTTTATGCAGCAAGAGTTTCTCATGGCAAACAAATAAAAGAGCACAATGCATGTGCTTATCACTGTCTCCTTGCTGACAGACATACTTGAAATGGAAAATAATAATAATAAAAAACTCAAGGCCCTTCCAGGAGAGCCTGACTGCCTGCACTGCGAGTGCCATAAAAAGAGCTTTTCATGACAGGAGCCACGGTTATCAAATGGAGTGTGTTTTATCCAGTATCAATTTCTAGTTTAAAGCAGGGGTGTCCCCTACCTCAGATTTCAGTGGCAAAGGAGGAAGGTCTGAATGGGAGGTATGTAAGGTGATGCTGCCTCTGCACCCTTTACAGCCCCAGAGAGGCTCAAGTCTCTAACACAGTGCAGCTATTTAGAGCCCTTTCACCTGCCTGCAGCCCAGAGGTTGATAATAATTGCATTACTCATTCCCCAAGTTTCTCCCACTGTCCTATCACATTTATGTGAGAGAAAAGAGTACTTGTGGCCCTTTTAGATTTTATTTGCAAAGCTTTAATTCAGCCTAGAGTCATTGAAAGTGTATAGATATGAAGCAGTCTGAATATTACCCCATTTTTAGAAACTGCACACTTGCCCTGATATTACTGGACAATTATGGAAAGTCTGCAATTATTTCCTCCCTTTTGGCTGTGTGGGTCACTGGCTGTCATTGCGTTCTGGTTTCCTGCAAAGCAGCTCAGTGGAAACATTTCCAAAGCACAAAAAAGTGGCTATGAAATCACACCATGAAGTACTCAGTCCATGAGATCCTACGAGCAGGTTTTTTCTCATCTCTTGATGACCTACAGTTGAAGTGGGCACTTGTTGGTGTCCCTTTAACCTACACTCCCTTTGCAGTCAGATTTGCTGTATTTCAACATGGCAGTTGCAATTTCCTTTGCAAAAGAGCATCTCCTTCACTCTGAGAAGCTCCTCGGTAAATATGCCACTGAAAATTTGTTGTACCAATAGTGTAAAGATTCATATGCATATATATAAGTATATAGAATCCCTCTGAATTATGAATGTAATTTATACTTGGTGACTCCACATTTCTGAGTGTATAGACCTTGGGAAGGGTGTGATCCTGTTTGCTGTTACTGTGATATATTTCTCTTATGATAATTTTACCTCTGCACTAGAGTCTCTACCTACATTGTCCTGGTAAAGGATGTATATATCATCCTATGTTGTGGAATTATTTTTATCCATTTTTAATAGCCCTTTAACTTGCAGGTATGGCATGAATTGTCTGATCCAGTTTGAAGATTTTGCAAATGCTAACGCTTTTCGTCTCCTCAATAAATACCGCAACAGATACTGCACATTCAATGATGATATTCAAGGTAAGTACTGTTATGAAAATGCAAATTTAACCTTCACCTTGTCATGAGGAAAGGTGATTAAGATCACAAGATTGTTTATTATACAATACTCAGATGTGTCATAAATTTTAGAGTTTACACATAAGCATTTAAAAATACAGACAAAATCACAGCAGTCTAAGTTGAAAAGTGAGTCCCTATTGTTTTTAGGAATTTAACTGTTCACTGCAGAAATATTGTTCAGGGGAGAAAATGGATCATGTGCTTTAGATTATTAAGTTAATTTAGAGTTCCATGAATTTTATAGAGTTCAGCTAAAGCAATGATGACATTTTAACAATTATGCAAGCCTTTCAGTTTCCATAAGCCAGGTGATCATTAGCTGATCCTGGCATTGTCGCTCTATTGTTATCCCCCTTATTACATGCACATACAAAAAGGTAGACTAGCATCTTTCCTCTCCATGGATGCTAACTCCACAGTAAGCTGAGAACAGATGCGTTCTCCTGTAGAGTGGTTAACATAACTCTTCCAGCACCAAAGAGGAATGACAGCAACAAAGCTGGGGTTATAACCAGCATGTCTCTCAGGACCTGTGAGGCTCAGCAGTCAGCAGAATTGCTCAAATGCACAGCGGGATGCAAGCTGTGTATTGGTGGCATCCTGGTCTGGTGCTGACTTTAATTTAAACCATTGGAAGGGCTGTTTGCCCATCCAACTGAGGCGGGATCTTCCCAAGTGATGACAAGTAACCAGTTCTTCTCCTGTGAGCCCCTTCATCTCTTCTTCTTTTGTCTAGTCCTGCTTGCAACATGCAGAAATTTCCAAGGTTTGTTGATTTAATTATTTGCAGTCAGTTGGGGTTGTCCTCACTTGTACTTGAAAGAGACTGAAACAAATGCCTGTGTCATTTTTCACACAATGCTCGTTCTTTTGGGAACAGACTCTCCAGCAGTATTTCTGCATCTGCTACCCATCTAGCAAGATTTGGCAGTGTGTGTAACAGCTTGTTCATATCTGTCATGGCACAAGACGGAGTAAGACCCTGGCTTGCAGGAGTATGGCTGGCACGACGAGATGCACAGTCCTGCTCAAAGATACTTTCATGAAGAGGGTTTAGAAACAGAGGCATTTCAGTGAAGGTGAGATAGATTCTCCTGTAAAAGAAGACTCATTAGGTTTTCTTGCTACCCACAAAAACTTTCAGTGGAGAGAGGAGCACAGAAAAGGGAGATACATTTTTGAATGGAAGCCTTGAATGGAGGAGCCAAGAACTTTTCTGGAGATGGACAGATGAAGCCCATAATAACAAGCTGATGATGTAAAGATTTATTGTGGATTAGTTGCTTTCTCTGCAGGTGGAAGGGGTCTCAACAGTTGAAAAGAAAAGAGACCAAGCAATGTGGCAGATCTGTGAGCTTGGATGTAGGTTTTCTTGAGGGAGCTAGAGTGAATTGAAATGGTTTCTTAGTGAATAGGAGTGGTTTCTTAGAGAGACAAGGAGAAGACAAAGAGGATATTAAAGCAAAACTGAAGATTCTGAGTGGGAAGCAGGAGGCTATTTTATAATATTTTTTGGCCATACGTCATAGCTAAATGCCTCAGACAGTTCCTGGAAATTACTCCCTCAGAGGGGCAAACCACGTCTAGGGAGATGCTGTAAAACGGCATTGCCATAAAATGGACCTTGTCTGCTTCTCCCCAGTTAGATGTCTGTGACCGTGCATGGGAGATGTCGAGCCCCCTGAAAATTCCTCAGAGGCCCACCTGCTAAAACAATAGGATTTTACCTCTTACTAAACTCCCTTATGTTCTTAAATAAAGCATCTAGCTGGCACTGGTTTTACAGCAGAAGATAATAAAAGAAATCCTGCTGATCTTTTGCACAGACAAGAGATGAGTCAAGGGAAGCAAGCCACTGTTTCAGGCTCTTTTGTGTAACTGTCAGAAAGAAAAAGGGATTCCAAGCCATTGTCGTAGTCAGGAATAAGTTTTGGGGACCTTTGGGAAGCTGATGTACCTGGGATCTGATCAGTTAACTCTGTCTTAGAGTCATGTCAGAGATTAATGGAGTTGAAGCTGGGATGAGTAGTCTGATTTACCCACCCTAATATACCCCTCTGTATCCCCAGATGATGTAAGAAAGGTAGGAAGTGCCATTTGCTCACTTAAACCCTCCTGTTCTTTGGTTTTGCCTCAGGCTTGCTCTTTTCTAACATGCTGGTGTCTCATGACTTACCTACTTCAAAAAGTGAGTTCAATGCAAATTGTGTTTTCAGTGATTAATGAGATTTATAGAAAGCCTTGTTTAAGCAGGCTTGATTCGTTTTACTCAAGTCAGGCAGGAACAGACCTCCTGAAGCCTGAATTATCCCAGCTTTGGAGCCAGCATTGTTTTAAGTATATTGATTTAAAAACACATCTTAGGCACAAACACTGCAAGTTAGATCAGGCCTGAGCTATACTAATTTAAACTCATTGCCCATTGGTTAGGGGGACTCTGAATGCAGTGTGTCTACACACACACACACAGAGGCAAGATATGGGAAGAAAGTATAAATTGCTCCACTTCATCTCCCTTAAGCCTCCTCTTGCTGCCTCTGGGCCTACATGAGCAGCAAGTAGGTTAAAATATTAACGCCTACTATTTTTTGTCACACAAATTTGTGTATTGCCCAATCCATCCTAACCCCACAGAAGTAAAGTGACTCAGGCCTCTTCCAGTTTGAACCAGCCTGCTGATGCTGAGTGGGACGCCTGCCAGGTACCACAAACTGGGATGAGCTGATTGCTCTTACTCTGAAAGCCATTAGCCTGGGAGCTAGCAGGAGCTGCCTCACAGTGCCCACGCCTGGGAGCTCCCCATTAAGGGAGTGCTTCTTCCTCTATGGGCGTGATGACATCAGTCTTTTCCCAGCTCTGTCTGGGTTCATGCAAGGGACAACAGCTTCAATTTCAGCTCTACAGGAGAAAATCGATTTTCACTCCTTCCTTTTTCCCAGTAAAGTGCCAGGGCAGGCAGTAAAGCACATATGAAATCAGAGGGACATGAGAATCCCTTAGATCCTGCTCCTTCTCCTCCTACAGTAACTTTGCTCCACTTAATTGTGCACAGTGATAAACAGAAAATAGTCTTACAAAGGTGTCAAGTCTTGTGAATCCCTGAAACAGGCATCTCTGGCTTCCTGCTTCATACAAGAAAATATATAAAATCATTGAATGTGTTAGTTTGGAAGGGACCTCTGGACATTGCCCAGCCCTCACTCAAATAAAAGGTGATTTCAAACTTAGATCCAACTTTGATATGGTACCAGGTTCCTCAGAGCCTTGTTCAGCCAAATAATTTTCAATATCTGAAAGGATAGATATTCGCAATCTCTTTGTGCTACCTGTTCCAAAGTTTCCTCATCTTCCTTCTGCATTTTTTTCCCCTAATATCTAACTGGAATTTCCTTAGATGCAACTTACATTCATTGCCCCTCATCCTTTGGCTGTGCACCTCTGAGAAGAATCTGGCTTCTTTACAAACGCTCAGTAAGTAGTTGTAGGCAGAAATTTAGATGTCCTTTTAGTTTTCTTCAGTTTATTCAAACCAACATAGGCTGACTGATCTAACATGCCCTGGGTCTTTCTTCTGGACCTTCTTGAAGATAGGTGTGACATTTGTCTTCTTTCAGGAATTCAGAATCTCCCCAGTTATCAAAACCTTTCAAAGAATGACTTTGCAGTGCTATTGGCCACGTACCTCAGCATACTTATATCCATCTTGTCAGGTCTCATGGACTTTGTCTATTGAATAATCCCTGATAAATAGGCAGGAGTCCATAGAAACCCTGTAAATTTTCACACCTAAGGCTCTCAGCATGGGACTAGGGCTCTATGTACATGTGTCTTTGTGGTAAAGAACCTGTCTAATTCCAACACAGCCTTCAAAGATGTGCACTGAATAACCAAAGAATCAGCAGGAGTTTGTGCCTGGGCTAAGCAAAACTGAGATCAGACGCATCAACCTGTGATTGGAGTTGGTAGACTCAGCTTGCTGTGCTAGAATCTTTATGCTGCAACAGAGATCCTTCAGTATCATGGTTCAGCTATCCAATCAGACATTACAAAAACGTTACTCACTATGAGAGTGGTTGAACACTGAGACAAATTGTGCAGAAAAGCTTTGGGACTTTTATCCTTCAAGAAGTCCCTAAGCAATCTAATCTAATTTTGAAGCTAGCCCTGCTTTAAGCAGATACTGGACTAAATGACCCCCATTCATCTCTTCCAACCTTATTTTTTTCTATGAAAAGTTAATTCTCCTGATTGATCAGTGTGTTACCCTCTACATTCACATATCAGACATGAATTCTTCAGTCACAGATTGCTTTCTTAGTACTGAAGAGCAGAAGTTGTTCTGCAAGTTTAGTTAGAGTTGCAGAAAAAAATGAAGAAATCTCTAATGTGTTAATTAATTGTATCTGATCATGTCATTCAAAAGCCTTTCACACATATGGGCAGGGCAGAGAGAATAATGCACAGAAGCATAAAGCCTACTGTCTCCTGGCATCTTTAGCAGTCTTTTAAAATTAGACCTGATAAAAGTATAACATTGATAGCTTCTCAAAGAGCCACCAACCTGAGTGCTTCAGATATATCCACATACACTTTGAGATGCTGTAAATAGACAGGCTTTCTAAAATCCTGAACACCTACACTGTGCAAACGAGACTTCTTCAAGGCACTTCAAGATGGGAAACCCCAAATCACTAGCCACACTAAAAACACTCAGCCTGTTGTATTTCTGTAGTCCCTTCACAACTGAAGCAGTCTATAGGCAATGCACAGGGTCATCACTTTTGCAGAACCTCTCTGGGTCTTTTCCCAGTCATTACAGCGATGATTCCCCTTTGTTGTTGGATGTGTGACTGATGATGAGCCTCAGAATATCTCTTGACCCACCAATCACCTTTTCTCATTATCCAAGCAGATAACCTTTCCATAACCTTTCCAGCACACTTCAGGAAGCAGCGTCT